ATTTGAATAAACAAAAACAATGACAATAAAATATACGCTCATTTATGCAGCATAGAAAAAAAAGGTAGTTAGCTTAATGCTAAGGACACCAATGAATGCTGCCATGGAAACATAAATTTGTTACTTTAGTAGAGACAAACAAATTCATTGGATTATTCCTACCTTTCTACATTACAATTATTATTAAATTAAGTAATTTAAGTCTGAGCGTAGAGATTTTTAATGAGATCTCATGCAAAAAAAAAACTATAGAAATGTCTTCACTTGAAGCTAACAGTACATACAAAATAAGAATTATTCCAAATTAGGTGGTTTGCATTATTTAATATGTTAAATTTCATAATAAAACAAAAATTTATCTTTCAAGTTAGAAATTGTAAACATAAAATTTTGACATCTGCAATCATCGAAATCAACAAATTTTGTCCAAAAGTTAGAGGTCAACCGTAGCAGTGGGATATGCAATTTTTTTTTTTTTTTTTTTTTTAATTTTGAAAAAATTTATTTTAATTGCAAATACACACTACTGATGACTTATCTAAAATCTTGAATTAAGGGTCTGTTTGGGGCAGTTGTAGCTTATTGAATAATCTGATGATAAGCTGATTAAAAATAATCTGTTGATAAATTAGGTGAGATGACTATTACAAATTTTAATATTTTTGGAAAAGTCAGACCGCTGCCAGAAAGCTGCCACCGCGACTAGATAGGTGCGGTGTTAAAACGCTGTTTTCAGCGTTTTGAAAACGCATAAGCTGTCAAAAAGCAGTTTATCCAAACAGGTTAGGTGCATTTTCAAAACGCCACCGCACCAAATAAGCTACTCCAAACGGACTGTTAAGAATGTCTTAGTTGGAAGACTAGCTAAGATTACTTGCATATAATGGGATATAAATTAATGTTGCATTTTCAATGATTTTAGTTGGGAGAAAAACAATCTTTTTTTTTCTAACTTCTTAAAAAACAACACTCAAAACTTCTATTTACAAAAATAGGATCCAAATTTTAAGAAATGTAACAAAACTATTAATTCTAATTATCAATGATTTATTAAATTTTTTTAATGATTTTGTTTATTGCATATAAACATAATTCATTTAAAAAGTTATGGTATTTTTGCAAATAAAAAATATTTGAACAGTATACATAAAAATCTTCCAATAGAAACATCAAGGGCAAATTTTTAAGTGGGACACCAAGGCGTGACCCCAACTAGCACAACTAAAATAAATAATGAATTGGGAATCTTCAATCACATGAATCTACCAATAAATAAAGATACCAAAGAGTACATGATGGATTTATAAAATAGATAAATTCTTAGATATGAAAATGCAATCCACACAATGATAAAGGATGATTCATTTGTGAAATCAAGATAAGAAAACTATTTTGAAAGCCTAATTATCAAACCTTCAACCAATATGGATTTATTCTAAGAGTTTGTTGTATGATCTTCAATTTTTAAGAGTTTTAAATAGCTTATTTTGAGTGAATGATATAGAAAAGCTCTTCGATCGCTTTTTAACTTGAAAAATGAATCAAACTTATTGAAATGGACTTCCTGATGTCCACAATATTTTCTAATAATCAAACTTATGTAATATTATAGATGAGCTGATTCTTTTTTAACTTTTTTTTTTTTTTTCAAAAATGGTATTTGATGATGGTTATGTGTTTCTCACGGGATGATCTACTCTAGAAGTAATAGGGGAAAGAATATTTTGAGGTCTACTAAATATACTATCTCTCTCATTCAGATCATGAACAATACTAGCGCATCCTTATCACCCATTTCATACCATCGCTAGTTATCAGTTCACCATACCATTCTCTAGATTACTTAGATCACATCATTTTAGCAATATTTTCTATCATTGTCATCATCTTATAAATATACTACTATATAATGTAGACATAGCTTACATCTTGTCCTCCTCCACTATTGTCTCACATCCATCTCTATTAACTTAATACTTTTAAGAGTTTAAAAAATCCTTGTATATTAATATCCATGAATTCAAAAGTTTTCATGAAAAGGATATATTTAATGCATAATTGAATCAGATAAAAATCAAGTCTAAAGAGGCCAACATCAGTAATTTAGATTGTTGGGTTTAAATATAAATGATGTCTTAGCCTAGCTAGTAGTTCCTAGACTTCTATGCTCGGCATCAACAAGCCTTATTATAGACCTAGGTCATTTTTGGAGGCAATTTAAATGGATTTATGCACAACTTAAGATGGCATGATTTTTTTTTTTTAATATTGTATAATAAATAAAATCAAGATTCTAATTATGAGAGTTTGAGTAGGTCACTTCATGCTAATAATTAAATTTCACACATTAACCACAAAATAGAGAGTCATGAGCCAAAATTTATACAAATGTTATATTTTATATTTTTTTTATAAGTACAAGATATTTTAATGAAAAAATTTTTTGAGAGCCACACCATTATAGCAGAGCTATATATACAAGTGCACCCAGTAAGCCCAAGCGAATAGTTGGACATGTAAGTATAAAAATTATATTTAGAATTTTATTTATTGAGCGTTATATGAGTGTTAATGCATTAATTTTCTAGAATGAGTTTACAAGTTCCATATAACATACAAATTCAAACATCTTTAGGAAAACACCTATGATGCTTATGTTTCAATACACATTATTCAAACAATACAATAAATAATGAAATAATAGATAATTACAATAACTTAAAAATTTTAACATTGAAATGAATGTGATACAATTAAAAAGGGAAGCGATGTAATAGCAATTGGTAAAAGATGAAAAGAAAGAGATAAAAGAAGAGGAAGAGAGTTAATCACAGAAGGTGTTAATGAAAGAGAGTGAGTTAATGAAAGGGAGATGTGAAAATTTTAATTTTTATACTTTTATGTTTAATAATAAATTTTATATTTCATAGTTAATTTTAACCATATATTTAATGTTTAACGAAGAATGAATTATAATAGATAATTAACGTGTTTGACTGCTTAATATCATAATCTCACTTACTAAAATTTAAAACTTGATGCAATGCGTCACAAGTTATGATGTGAATATCGAGAGGCAATTTCTTAAGAAATTCTTTTTATATCAATTAGGATGATTAGTTTTTTACCGGAATGATGCCCAATTTCTTAAGAAAAATTTAAAATTTTCATCATAAACAGAGATAAATATATATAAAAGTTACTTATCGAGAGGCAAAATTGATTGATTTATTCATTAGAATATACATAAAAAGTTTTTATATATTTGCCATCAATTTTTTTTATTTCAACAGAAGCTGATTTCCTTTTATGAATCTATCTTTATTTTCGACAAAATTTTTTATCAGTAAATTTATTATTTTCTTATGGCATGCTTTATCAATTATATCAGCAATATTTTAATGATTTCAATCATGTCAAATTGGTCAGTTTCATAAAATAATTTGTAATCAGTATTAAAAAATATATTTTAAAAAAATTTAAAATGATTAAACTTATCAGACAAATTGTAGGTCAAAATCATATGTTAATCAAAATAAATATTAATTATCCATATATATATATATATATATATTCTAATTGAGAAGGGTAGAGGCATACATAGATGTAGCAACATAGTAATAATTGATAGATAAAACATTAAATGTGAGATCCACTCATAGTTTTCTTTTTCTTTTTTTGGCATCATCATATAAATAAAACTTAAACATCCTCATATAATAAACATATAAATAAATGGCATAGCAAAGTTGTAATTTTTAATATCATATTATAAGCTGACTTATTGTAAAACTTTTAGTGTGGAAAAATCTCCACCCTAACATCTCTAAAAAGATTTCTTTGTAGTTGACCAAAAAGAACTCTGCCATGGAGCATGAATAAAGACCAATAAATTATGAAGTACTTGATGCATATAATCACAAAGACTTTGAACTAGCCTAATTTGTAGGCCACATACTCCTCTAGATACAACTGACACACTGCATCTCCTCCCTGTCAACATCAACCTCTCCCATTTCCTTTTTCCAAGTCCAACCTTGAGCCACTCTTCCCTCTTCCTCCAAACAGCCAAAACCCTACTCCACAAGCTCAGCCCTATGCAATGTTACACTGCACTATTATTATTATTATTTTTATTATATAAAATGATTATTTTATTTGATATTCTAAGAAAAAAACGAATTATAGATAAAACAAATAAATAATAAAATTGCAGTTATGAACTGTAGTTGCCAATGAATGCGGCTAAACCTTCATCCTCTTTCAGCTCCACACTCGTACTTGCGTCGACCAATTCCTCGCCGATTCCTCGTGAGTTTCGCTGACGTGTGCGCACTAAATAAGAGGCCGCGTTCCACGCGGAGCGTAACCCGCCCAATCGGCGCCCGGTTCACGTGGGTCCCACTGACCAGGCCGCCGATGCGGGCTCTGCGGCTTTCTGCGGCTTCGCGGTCCCTAAGCCGTGGCCTCGGGGGTGTTTCGCGCGGCGGAAACGTCACCTCGGACGTGGGCCGGGCCAGACCGGGCCAGAAGTGTGGGGACATGGCTGCCTGTTCGATGCCATCAACCCTCCACGTGTCATTAATTTAGTTATTGTGGGCCATGCTTCATTGATGGGCCCTTCCGAGATCCGAGCCTGCCCCCACTCCCAGGCCCTCGTCTCGCAGGAAATTTTATCGATGGGCGAGACCCGGCCAGCCCACATGCGCACCAGCAGCTTCTAATAATACTAAAGTGAATGCCCCGACTCTTTTCTATTTACCACGAGAGTGCCACACTACAATGCAGTTAATTTTTCAGCCTGAAGTGGTGAAATAGTAATTAAGAGAAAGTAGGAGGTCATTTTTTTTAGTCAACCACAACCCGGGCTTGTGGGCCATATTGAAAGGACAGGCCGGGCCGGGCTGTATGCTGCTGGAGCAAGCTGAAGACAATAACGCAGAGAAAAAAGCGGGGGGAGAACGTGCGGGAGATAAAAGCGTTGGATGAACTGAATGGTGGAGCCCGCCATGGGCCTACCCACCGCCCATGCGCACTCTGTCCGATTATTTGAACGGAGAACCTAAATCTCTCTCCCTCCTTCTATCTCTCTCTCTCTTCGCTTCCCCTTTACAATCCACAGCTTCATCCATTGACCTAACCCTTTCTTCTCGAAAGCCTTATGGCAAATAGAACCATCAGAAGAGAGCTCTGAGCATGAAATGAGACGCACAAATTCTACATCAAAATCAGATTTTTATCATTTCATGGTGATGAAGACAAGCTAACAACGCATCAGGAAAGCTCCAACATCTCAAAGTCGTCTCCTTTTTTTCCCAACTTTCATCTTTCCCGCATCTGCAATTGGATCCTCTCCATGGATCCGATCACCGCCTCAGCACACGGCCACCATCTCCCCCCATCTTTCCACACCCGTGATTTCCACCACCAGCTCCACCACCTCTCTCCCCAACTCCACCAACACCCCAAATCAGACGCCGATGACTTAATCCTCCGCGGTAAAAAACGCGAGAACGCCGACGAAGACAGCTCCAACAACCACAGCGGCGGTGAGGGCAAAGAAATCGTGCAGGTAAACGGTAGCGACGGCGATATGATGCGTCGTCCTCGCGGTCGTCCTGCCGGATCTAAGAATAAACCGAAGCCTCCAATAATAATCACTCGCGACAGCGCCAACGCGCTCCGTTCCCACGTTATGGAAATCGCCGGCGGTTGTGATATAGTAGATAGCCTCGCATCGTTCCGCCGGCGAGGTGTTTGTGTGCTCAGCGGCAGCGGCACCGTTACTAACGTGACGCTCCGGCAGCCCGGCTCGACTACCGCTGTCGTTACACTTCACGGCCGGTTCGAAATTCTATCGCTTTCGGGTTCGTTTCTGCCGCCGCCTGCACCGCCGGCGGCGGCGGGGCGGGACTGACGGTGTATCTGGCGGGAGGGCAGGGGCAGGTGGTAGGGGGGAGTGTTGTGGGGCCCTTGATAGCTTCGGGGCCGGTGGTTATAATGGCGGCATCGTTTGGAAACGCGGCGTATGAAAGGTTGCCGCTTGAGGAAGACGAAGGGATGGGAGTTGGAGGAGGGGGAATGGGATCGCCGGGGATGAGGGAGGGGGAGGACCGCAGGGGTTATTTCATGGCCTGCCGCCGAATCTATTGAACAATGTGCAGATGCCGGGGGATGCGTATGGATGGGCTGCGGGAGGAGGAAGGCCATCTTTCTAAAAAAAAAAAAAACGTTTTTTTTTTTTTTTTTTTTTTTTTTTTTTTTTTTCCTTATATTCTTCTTCTTAAGCTTCTCTTTGTTTTGTTTTCTGGGTTTGTTGGGTTCTTAATTTTTACTACTTTTTAGCTTTGTTATTGTCCTCCTATTTTTACTAGTAGTAATGATGGATGTCTGATTTAAGGAAGCTTGGTAATGAATGAGGTAGCTTAATTTGAGGTGGCAGAGTCCATGAGAGAAGCTTCTTGTTGCAGTGAGTTCTCTATCGGTTTCTTTCTGCTGCTGCTTTCGAGACTTTGAAGCAAAGGATAAGCAAGAAAGAGGACAACATTAATAATCCATTTGTTCCATAATTGCTACACAGGTTAGATGTTCATCATCATTATCTTTCACGTACTTGCAGCGAGCTATATGATCATAAAAACGTTAGACATTAATGAGCTGTTTATGAGAATTTTCAGCTTTTGTTTGTATTAACAGATTGTTATGCTTGCATTAGTGCTAATTATGTTGATGGAATTTGGTTTTTGGGTTTCAGTTTTGAGTGCGTTACAATGAATATTGTTTTTATTTGTCGTGATTTATAGTGTTAGATCATATTTTTTGTGGAAAAGTTTAGATCAGGAGTTTTTTATACAAAATTAATAAGAAATGCAAACATTTCCGTTGTACATAAAATTTTGTATAAATTTTAAGATATCCATGATTGTGGTTTATATAAAAAATGTTTTTTTATAGAAAAAAGTTGTTTTTTTTTTACTTTTTTGGGGATTGGGCAGCAACACCTGCATTCTTAGCTCTTTTTCGAGGCAAGTTGTGCCATTAAGAAGAAGAGGGGGGAAGAAACAGGTGAAGGGTATGGGACTTTACGGCCGTCACCTTCTGTTTGCAGATGTAATTAAGGCAGCCGTTCATTACTATCTATGAGCTGTGTGTGTTTGAGAGAGAGAGAGAGAGATGAATCAATTTTAGAGGATGACTGCTAATCATAATTAGAAAAATATGATTATATCAGTAATGGGAATCCATCAAGTTTTAAGTTTTCTCTCTCTTAGAGCTATAGGGGAGATTCATTTAAGAGTTTTGAGTTTATGTTTATGATTTTTACTTAGTTTTATTTTTAATTAGATTTTTTAATTCGACATTTAAAAATGTTAAAAAATGAGATTAAGAAGAGAGGGAAATATATTGGGTGGAATTGGGAGGATATATATAGATTGTCTAGAGTTTTTGGCATATGGGAGGGTTGAGTATTAAGTATAGTCGGGGGTTATCTTAATATAAGCCTGTCAATTATTTGTATAATTTTTAATTTTTTTTTTCTATTTATGAAATTAACTTTAATTTTTTTTATTTATAATATAATATTAGAAATTTCAAAAACACAACAAAAATTCTAACTCCTATTTTTTATTTTCATTAAATTCTCCATGAGTTGATTATGGCATGTTATATTTGGTTTATTATTTATTTTATTTTTTTTCTGAAAACTGATAAATGTTATTTAAATGAGAAAAAAAATTAATAATGAATTTAAAATATATACAATTGCTGCATATAACATTAAACTTAAAACAAAACTAAATACATATTTTCATGCATAAAATGAAATTTAGATATTGGATATATAAATACAAAAGGTTTATTAAATCAGTGGAGCTATAATAGTTATTAGATTTGCTTTCTCAAGGTATATGTACAATTCATACACTACTAAAACATTTATATTTTGGGACAATTTTGATTGTGATAACTTCCCAATAATTTGGATACGGATTTTATCTGTATAAATTACTTAATGCTTTGATTCTTATTTTATTTTGAGAGCAATATAATTCTTAATTATCAACTAACTTTCGTCCTCGCACTCACTCGTGCGTCCTCTACCTTCCCCTTTCCCTCACACGGCATTCTCTCGGCCCGGGCCTCACCGCCGGTCGCCTCCGAGGCAAGCTATTCTTCTTTCCCGACTATAAATACCCCACCGGGGTTTGATTTTCTTTGGGTACCAACATTATGATTCTAAATTATATGTAATGTTTGATTTTCTTTAGCTACCAACCTTATGATTCTATATTAACTAACTTATAATGAATGCATGAGTCATCTCCAAACATATCAAAAACATCATCTTATAATAATTTGCATTTAAATCCCAATTGACTCTTTAATTGGAGTCAACTAACCACAATTACTACTAATGAAAAATATCAAATTATATTTAACCAAAAATCATTTCTTTGAAACCATATGGCTTAAAGACATACAAGTGTTACAAGTACAAGTTTCATCTAACTTGTAATCAACATATTTATCTGTGCACAACGCATCAAATCTTCTATATATATAGTCTTTGGCATCATATTCAATGTCCACTTCACTTGTATGTTAATGTTTACAAGTACATCATTAAGAATGAGAAGTATAGAAATGAAATAAATTCAGGCTATACTTACCTTACCCTTTAAGAATTTAATTTTACTACTCGTTGCCCAACCAATTGTGATAAATATATGCTTCTTTCATTTTATGTTAAATGATATTATTGTAGTTATTCATACAAAATGTGTATTACATCCTGCAACTTATTTTTTTTGTGAGCTTAAATAAAGGGGTGAGAAATCAAAATAAGAAAGAAAACATGTGCTCGAATGCATAACATATTGGTTGGAAATAAAATGAAGAATCTGATGATGTCGCGAAAAAGAAAGAAAATGTGCAATGACTGATAAAAGTTTAAAATTCATATGTTGATTTTCCCTTCTTTTGGATCATGTATATGTCCTACAAACAAGCAAAATATTTATAACAATGTTATTGGAGCATGAAGATGTGTATTATAGGCTACTTGAGTCCAGTAATTCAAAATTTTCAAATAACATGATTTTTCTCTCTTTTATGTAAGAAAAATGATTAACAATTGCTTTCCCAAATCTGAAGCCAAGATATATAGCAATGATATCATTTAACATGAAGCAGTTGGCAATTGAAGTGTCTTCCAACATCAAAAAATATTTGAGCAGATGGTCTCATCTTCAAAGGAAATGATTTCTAATTATTTACCGTAAATGAGGTGGAAGTCTTGCTTTTTAGGGAGATCAAGAAGAAATTAGATGTTTTATATAAGGAAATGTTAACCAGTTCTAAAGGAAAACATACAATTACGTAGATGGTTTATATGAAGTTTGATTCAACTTCTCACAGTTAAAGACAGCTGAAATTGTTTGTTTTTTTATGCCCGTTATTACTTTATAAAACCAGTACGATTATGGTAGAATTAAAGCATATTCATCTAGTTCCAAAATCTGAATCATTATATCACAGCCAGTCATGCAGAGAAAGTGAGAAAATAGACTTGTGTTGATCAGAAATTATGCATGACTTCGAAGAGAATTAAAACCAGAATAGATATGATCTTCTGCAAATATCACCTCAAGGTTTTGCAGGATTAATTCATGTCTTGTAATCAATATTTATTGTCTTATTAAGAGTTTAGAATGCTGAACAAATGTATAGCATTTGATTTGTCATCACAAAATTCATCTTATTGAACACAATAATTTTGATATAAGTTTCAAATTTCAAAGCATCCGTGTATTTAAATTCAAAATTATTAGAATTGAATCCAAAATCATTTGAACTTAATTTTCTTTAACAACCTTATAGCAAAAAACGAAAAAAGTTATCTAAACATGTCAATGTGACAAACTTAACGATACCAAGAACATCTTGATATGAGTCAGAGTCGGCATAAATGAGATTGTAGGTGAAGTATAGTTAAAAAGTTCACAAGTTCAGTTAAGTGATCAAATGTCATTTTAATGATATGTGCTTATTGCCAAAATAAGCACCTTAAGGAGATGAACCCAACGATATCAAGAATAGCTTCATCTAAATCCAAATGAACTTAAATTAATAAAGTACATAAATTAGAATTTCATAATATTATTATTGAATTGATCAAACATCCTTCCAACCTTATGTGGTTATAGACTAAATGAACATTTTATTTGGAAAATAAGATCATTTTTCATTTAACTCGGCAAATAAAAATTACAAAAATGACGCCAAAATATCATTTCAAAAGACATAAGAGCCCAAATTCAAGAAATTGTGTGTGTGTGTGTGTGTGTGTGTGTGTGGCATGAGAAAGTTCACAAGTTTACTTAAGAAATCAAATATAATACAATCTTGTGTGTGTATAGTCTAAGGGGCAGTTTGGTTTGCTAAAAATGAAATACAATATAAAAAAATTTTGCAGAGTACTATAATATATTACAAAATATTTTAAATACTTTCGAGTTGTTTGGTTCACCGTAAAATGTATAAGTGTAATGACTCATAAATAATTATAATGTTCCCATTAATGAGAAATAATCATATAATCTATACTTTCGAGTTGTTTGGTTCACCGTAAAATGTATAAGTGTAATGACTCATAAATAATTATAATGTTCCCATTAAATGAGAAATAATCATATAATCTATCAGACTCCTTTATATGAATTATAAATGTATAGGAGAGTCTTTCCTATAGAATAAACTACTATATCCATTCTCGGATAATTGGTTCTTTTAGTGTTTGTTTTTCTCTACTTCTTTATTTTTCTATTCCTCTCAAATTTGCCCTATTGAATCTCCTTATAAAATGACACCCCTTAGTACATAAGATATGGAGATGCCTCTTACTACATAATATATGGTGATAGAAACTATGTTTTTTTCTTAAAAATATTTTATTTTTATACATGCATGTAATTAATTAAGAAGCATATATGTGATCTTAAGGTTACTAAAATGTAATTAGAAAAATTAACTTGTATAAATTGATGTAAATAGTTTGATAGTTTATTGTAATAAATGTATAATAAAGAGATTAATATTTAAAATAATTACAACATGTGAATATAAAAAAATCAATGATCATAGAAGCATATATAATAGACTATTATCTAGATGAAAATTATCAATAAACGAATTTCATATATGTATGTTTAACTTTAAAGATACTTTTATAAAAGGAG